GAGTCGTAAAGGGTTTTGACTGTCCTTGCCACCCAACAGACCGAAGTATGTCTTTTGTATTGACGCGGCCTGTCTTCTTTTTCAACAGCGCCCTGTTTACCTAATCCATGCAGACATGGGGGACAATGCATCGCCTCTCGTCGCCATGCAGCCGGATATAAATGCCGGTGCAAGAGTGGCTACGCAGGAAGATTATGTGAATCCGGTGAGTATTCCCTGCGTACGAATATAAGGTTACCATGTTTTCTGTTTTATTTGAAAGCAATCAGCCTGAAAGGTAGTGCAAAGTGTCTTTTTTGCAATGCCATTATTATAACCCCACTCCTTTCCCCATGCGTACCTATAGATATGAACGAGTGCCGGAGAAATGGCTGCAAAAGTTGTGCATTGTTTTTAAATCTCTTTGGTGGTTACCAATATAAAAAATCAAATATAGTTGCTTTTAACTCAATGGCGTGACTTCCTGTCTAAGTTTCATTTATTTTGCTGAATCCGTTGTATGTAATGATTAATCGTATGAGGAGGTAGCTGATCCCATTAAAGAGTGCTCAATACACATATAGTCTAGAGCTAGTTATATATATAATATCAAATAGGCAAGATTTTGCTGTTATTCCGAGTTTTGACAGTTTCTCGTTCATTTCACAGCCAGCGCGTGCGTGTATTTGTAGACAAATCACTCATTTCTGTCTGTAACCCAATATATATAAACATTGTTTTAGGTCTTTGCTGTAGTTTGAGGTATTTCGTAACGGGTTTTTTGCTCGTTATCTTTTTTGTAATTTGTTTTGTCATTATTTTGTAATTTGCTTGGAAAATCACAATGAAATCAAATMMAATGTTTGAACAGCAAATTTACCTAATTTTCCAGTTTTTCTCTGAGATGTAGTATTTAYAGTATATCAATCTCACTGACTCTTTTACAGTTGTATAGGAAAATAAAGGGAAAAAAATTGTTGTTACTTCAATCCCGCTCTAGGACGAAACGACGACTTGCGTTCCTTTCTTTACTCGTTAAACTCGCTTTTTGCGTTGTTGGAAGATCTTTCTTTCTTTTTAAATATGCAACTGTGTATTTATACTAAATTAATTATTCACCGAAAACAAGTTTGTCTTGTGCGCGMAAATAGTTGCTAAGAAATCAAAGAGTGTCTGGAAGCATTTGCATAATGGCGGGAAATGTTAGAATCACCAAAAAATGGTTTCCAATTAAGTTTTTGATGTTTAATAGACAACCATTGAAAAAAAGCCGATCAGCTTTGTTTTTTTTTTTAATTGGATAATCTCTAGAGATTGATGAATGTTTGAAAACTCCTTCATAACTCCCTCAAACTTCAGTCAAGTGTTTAAACATGAAAGAAGGATATGGTTGCACTTGCATAGTTGTAAACTCATCTTTCATTTTCAGTTTGCTCTGTTTTTAAATTCTAAACGCTGAAATTTAATTTCTAGACATCAGTAAATGTTCGAAAAATCCTTGTCAAAATGGAGGTATTTGTGTCAACAATCATGGAGGATACAGTTGCACATGTGCGCCTGGATTTRAGGGAAAAAATTGTGGAAAAGGTAATAAGAGTACTTAAAATGTTAATTAGATATTTTTAAATCCGAGATGATATAAAATGTTTTCTCTAATATCAACGAATGTTTGGAAAGTCCATGCCAAAATAGTGGCAAGTGCGTGAACAATCATGGAGGATATAACGGCACATGTGCGCCTGGATTTGATGGAAAAGACTGTGGAAAGGGTTTAATGTTTTCTAAGATTTGCCCATTTTTAAACCAATTTTTTTTTGGAATTTGAAATGTAAAATGTATTTTTCAGATATCAACGAATGTTTGAAAAGCCCTTGCCAAAATGGCGGCAAGTGTGTGAACAATCATGGAGGATACATTTGCACATGTCCACCTGGATTTTTAGGGAAAAAATGTGAAAAAGGTACTAGTATTCGTTTTATTTTTTTTAGTATTTTTGCATCTGAAATGTAAAATGTCTTCTCAGATATCGACGAATGTTTGAAAAGTCCTTGTCAAAATGGTGGCAAGTGTGTGAACAATCATGGAGGATACAGTTGCACATGTGTGTCTGGATTTTCAGGAAAAGATTGTGAAAAAGGTACTTATTAATAGTATTTCTCATTTTTTTT